ATATCGTGCGCGTGACACAACATACTCGACATCATCTTCCTCTCCATCCTTCCATCCCAAGAATTCTCGATCGCGGTGTCGTGAAATATCGAGGTGGACGAGGAAACTTCCATGAAAACTCGACGCTCGTACATTATCCATGCATCATTTTTTTTTTTTTTGTTTTTCTTTACATCACGATCCACTTTCTCCAATGATACGCACACGCAACCAAATATATATATATATATTCATCGAAACCCGGAGAATCAAACATGTATCACGATTTCAGCGCAACGTTTCTCACACGTGTTATTGTGAAAACAGCGACGCTCTCTCTCTCTCTCTTTCGCGCGCGTTCTCTCTCTCTTCCTTTCTCTCCCTCTCTCTCTCTCCCTTATAGTTAATTAAACCGTTATTACAATAATATATGTTTACTTTGTACTATATATGATCTTATAATCGACGCACGTTTCCTCATAATCATCATCATCATCATCATCATCATCATCGTCGTCGTCGTTATTATTATTATTTTTTTTTTTTTCCTTTTCTTTAATCATTTTGGTACGATTCTCTCGCGGTGACTTTCTAAAACGATCGACCCTATTCCATCCCATCCATCCTTTTCTCGTTTTTCTCGTTGCATGCCAAAGTTTGCACATTCGTTAGCCAGAGAGAAACTGAATCGTCGATCGCGTGGAACCGAAAGAACGCGGGACAAGAACACGGGGACAATAATATTCCTCTACAATTTCTCTACGGAATCGGACGCTTTTTCTTTCTTTCTTTTTTTTTTTTTTTTTTTTTTTTTTTTAAACCAAGGAAATTAAGTTTAACATTAGACTAGTACAATTATATTCGCTCCCTTTACACGATCTGGATCTCAACGGGGACGGATCGTTGCATCAAAGCATCATTCTTCATTTTCCAATTATAAAAAAAAAAAAAATATCTCCAAACGTCGAACGAGAAGGAATGCAACGTCCGCCTCACGATGGATCCTCACAAATCGCATAACGTAACACTCGGTAACACCAAACCAAATACGTCCTCGATCGCAAACGAATAAAATAAGTTCGGCGAGGGAATGGCTCGCGTGCAATCGGGAAAAACTTCTCTTTCCTCCATCTTTGCCAAAATCATCACCGCTTCCTCCTCCTCTCTCTCTCTCTCTCTTTTTCTTTCTTTAATATGTACAATAGCACAGCACGAATTGCGGTACGATACTTCGAGTGCGGTATTAATACTAAATTTCGAATTCTCTATCTCTCTCTCTCTCTCTCTC